CAACCTTGTTCTGGATGATATAGGAATTTGAATTTTTTCATATTAGAAGTAGGCTTTGTAATAATGTTGTTATCACCTGCAGCCACAGCAACAAACACTATTTAAACACGTAGATAATATAGTGACACACACACCGCGCGGCTAACAACTCTTGGTAAATATTTGAATAATGTATTTTTATATCCCTTGTGTGCGTACGTACGCATTCTTTATCTCACGAGTTGCACACAACTGCGGCTCATCCCCTTGAAATGCGGTTGTTGAAATTTAACACCAACATTTTCAAGGCATGAAATAATTAGGAGGATTTTTTTAGTAAAATTAATTTTAAAGAGGGAGATTAAATAAATTAATTAGATTTTCAATATGAATTGCTCCAAATCATGAAATATTTATATAAAGTTTAAATTTTTTTTTAAATTTTCTATTGGTACATATTTTTGTATACCAAGTTTTTGTCATTAATCTAGAATAAAATTGTGTAAAAGTATATAATTATAATTAGAAATGATGACTCAGAGTTGCTCCATACGGAAGTTTCCCAGAATTAATAACAGGACATACAAAATAACGCAGAATTAACTCTTCGGCGCCACAGGATAGGGATATAATTAGTAAAAAGGGGCGTTCGTTTTGGGTTTCGAACGCTGAAATGAGTTTATATATGTTGTGCTGCACCACCCACTGCTTAACTATGTTGGGCCGAGATGAAAAAAGGCTCTCTCATCAACATGCTATTTTGTGTTTGTGCGCTGCACTTTATCAAATGATAGCACATGAATACGCCTACCTTTAATGACAACAACTGTGAAACTCAAACCACCCTCTGACGCGAGCATGCACGTGATCCTGTTCGAGTGCTCACCAAGGCAGAATGAAAATAAGAGCCTTCACAATGGAGTGGCAATTTTTATTTGCAACAATGTGTGCAAAAAACAGGGAAAAGCGAGTAGCAGAGCAGAGTGTTGGGAAAATTGGAATTCTTAAAATTGCTCCGTTGGACTAGTGTATTATTAAGTTTAATTTTGAATATATACATAAATGATAGTTTTTAAAAACTAAGAAAATCTATTTATAGCTTTTAATAATATTTATTCATATCAACAAAGTTGTAATTGTTTTATATATTTTATTTAGTTTTATTATATAATAAATAACTTTTTTTTCAATTCATCATTATATCAATTTAAAAATCATTTTAAATAATATTTTTGGATAAAGCTATATATTTCTAATTATAACTTCAATTAAAATTTTAAAATTAAATAAACCCAATCGATCACCAATTCAACAGATCAAATCTAATGTAAATTTTATAAGACACACGAAGCCACTCGAAGCTTTTGTATCGTGATTCTCGCAATTAAAATAATACAGGTGAATTAGAAAAAAAAGTCATACAATAATTGAACTAAATTTGATCTGCACTGTCAGTCTTTTGGTCTCCTTAATTAATTTTGTGTAGCAGCCAAAGAATAACTGTCTTTGCACCATTGGTGTGTGTGCATGTTTTTTATTTTTTACTCGTCGCGGTCAACTCAAGGCTCACACATATATCATATTGCTGTTCCGCGCTCTCCATGTACGTTTTTTTTTATTCTCATTCCGCAATCAAACCATTTCCAATACTGAATAAATGTTCTGCACCGATTATTATTTTTACTCGCGGTTTCGATTTCCATTGCGCAGATCAAAATTCCTCTCTCCTAAAAAATTTATGCAAGGAAGAACTGGATCCCTCACGAGTTAATCGGATTACTTTGGTGGTAATTAAAATGTGTCTCAAATTCTTCGCAACAAAAAGGGAATACGGTGGTGAAATTTTCTGTGAAATATCTCATTCAAAGAATGCAAAAAATGGAATTACATATTATAAAAATTTTAAAGAAGAAAATCGTGATTTTTAAATTAAACTAAATCTATCATACAAACAAAGTCCTATTTTGTGCAATTTTATACAATAATTTTATCACAGTAAAAAAAAGCAAAATACACAATGTACAAGAACTTTTTGCTAGATCATGCGATTCTATATTTGAAATTTTGCCTTATTTACTATCGCTCTCTTTTCATAAAAGATTTTTTCCTCTAAAACTTAACCTTTTCTCCAAATAACTGGTAAAAAGTTAAGCCTCTGGATTGTTTTCATAAAAAGATAAATTAAATACACTTATTCTTTACATACAAATTGAATTTTTGCCTCCAAATTGTTGATTTTAATAAATGAAAATTTTCCAGCAATTCAAGATTAAAATTATTTCAACAAATAAACAACAGTAATTATTTCTACTTAAAATATCTTCCTCGTACAAAATCACCCTTTAAAAATTGTTACCTAAAATTGCTGGGAAAAGTCTCCAATTTTATGAATTTAAACTTATTTGAAAACTGAATGATCCATTGCCTGTATTTTTTTAGAAATCACGTCAAACATTTTAGCATATATTATCAATTTTTAGATTCTGCCGGTTGATTGAATTCACGTCGAGAGCATCAGGCAGATTGATATAATTATATTTTTCTTTTCGAGGTGTGTGTGTGTGTGTGATTATGACTTTGTTCTCACCACGATTGTGTGTCACGCGGTTGGGGCAGCGAATGACGAGCGAGAGATGAGAATATAAAAATTAAAATGTAGCATCCTCGCTCGGGCGACGCTGCACAAAGAGCCGAACTACGGCAGTAGATTATGGATGGGAGCATTCATGCATGTGTCACCTTCCCTGGGCCGGCGGGTCACATGCTGCATATTATTATGTCCTTGTGCTGTCAGGTGGCGAGCAGGTCTCAAGTGCGAGCTGGTTTTACTCTCTCGCGGTGGCGATGCGAAATTTGAACTCGACAACCCAGCTCGAGTAATTCGATCGTGCCGGGAAGTTGTATGGTGGCTGCCCGTTCGGTCGGACGCCGCCGCCGCCGTCGACGACGACTGCCTCTCCCTATATCGATTGTATGTGTGACCTCGAGGACACGGCGTCCCGATTATTCTATATTGGTGTATTATGCATGCACGCACTCATTACCCGCAGCAGCTAGAGCGGGCTCGCTTTGCAAACGATTTTTTTTAACCCTTTCTTTCTCTCTCTCACCGACGCAGTGTGTAATGAGCTTTTGCGCGCAAATTTTTCACCGAGAGGGAAGTACGAGGAAGCCAGACAACTTGAGCACCGGCCAAACAATAACAGATGGCGGAAATTATATGTACATATTGGAAAAGAGCTGCGCAATTTGATAATCTAGGCGGGGGTGCGAAAAAATAAAGTCCAAAAATACCAGTAAAAAATTTAATTTGTTAAAGAAGGCCTGATGATTTTGTTATAAGTAGTTTTATTTTGACTATATCTAAAATTTATTTGAAAAAAGTTCAAACTTTTAGTACAAGTTACGCACACAACAATAGTTTTTATAAATGTGTGCTTTCCAATAAAAATAAATTATTGTGAGAGCCACATTTTTTGGAATTTCTGGAATATTTTTCTTTTTTTTTCAATAACGTCTGATGAAATCAGCTTTATTGTTCAATTTCACCATTGCATTAAAAACAAAACGAGGAAATTCCAGTCATGTTAGCAAATTCTATTTGACGCTTATTGTTAATATGTTCTGGACTCACAGTTTAAAAAATTTGCTCGTATAGTGTCAGCCATTATTCAATCTCTAACCCTCGATCATCCAGCCAGTTTAAAAGTTCATTAATTAATTTAAATAATTAAATATTTATTTGACTGTAAAATACTTGAATTTTCGCTCAGGTTAAATAATAAGTTCATAACAGGGCGTATTGAATAACAAGAAACATACAATTTATATACTAAGTAAAAATAATAATGAGTAGCAAAATAAGTCTAATTAATCACGCCAAATTTAAAAACATTTTTTCTTATTAAAAATAATCTTTTAAAAAGAGGTTAATATAATGTATCATTATCATTATTTGGTCTAGTTTAATTTTAAATTTTAAACCAGTCGTAGTTTTGTGCTACTTTCCAGAGTTTCTTGTCTCTCTGCGGTGAATATGAGCCTCTCTGCATTTTGTAATGAAAAACTGTTGTGCCTTCATCAATGGATCTGCTCTATATTCTATGAATAGAGGATGATCGCGCCCATATATGCGTATCATTTGCTCTTGGGTGTTCTGAATGAAACCCCACAAGTGCCGCCGAAATTTACAGATCAGGAAGTTGATAAGAGGGAAATAGGGGTGTGGGCCCGCGCAAGTGTCCAGAATTTCAAACCAGCACGAACTATCAGACACGCAACCGTATATTATTTTTCTAATACGGAAAAAAATTAATATATTAAAAAATTGCACACGCCAAGCAAGGCTTCAGTCCTCGTTACCAGCCTCGATTCACTTGCGTAATATTTTTAATCCTCGTGGATTGAACTGAAATTAAAAGTGGCTGTGTGTGCGAGAGAGACGAAAGTGATTATCTCCCCCTCGGCTGACAATATAAAAGCGAGCAGAAACGAAAACTTTAATGGAATTGACCTCTGTTTCAGTTAAAGTAATTAAACTGGTCATGAGTTTTGTTCAATAATAGACCGACCATTGGCAGATGATTGAATGATCAGTTGGGCCGTAATGAAAGGGGTATAAAGTGGAAACGTGTGGAGAAGAGTGGGCAATGTTAAGGCGCGGCGCCGAGAAACGAGCGCGCTTCGTTGGCCCTCTGTTTTCAAAGCTTGAAAGCTCCGAGAGCTGATCGTTCAAAAAGAATGATGTAGAGGGACACTCGACTAGCTTGGCGCGTTTTCAATCATAAAATTATTTTAAAATAATTTTTTTAATAATTGTTAATGTTTTTCTATATTTTATTTTTTTTTAATTTTATTTTATTTAATTATTGTTATATTTTTTTTATTGTTTAAACAAAGAGAAATATTTTAAAAATTAAATAAGTTGTTTTGAAAAGGCTACTGCTTGAGTAATTTTAGTGAGCGTGAAAACAAGTGAGTGCGACTGTGAACGCTGATTTCGCGCTTCCAAAGTTGTTTATACACAAAGGCACATGGTTTCTTAAATTTAATTTTGAACCAAATGAGTTGTTTGGAGCAGTTTTAATAACCATTCTGATATATGGATCATCACAATAATAAAAGAAAAAGACGGCCACATAAGAGAGGAATTTGGGATCCAAACTATCCCGTAAGTAAATTTTTATGTTTTTTTAGCGCTATAATGTAACTTATCAATTTTCACTTCTTAATTTATAATTTTTTGTTAAATTAGATTTCCGCCAAAATGAGATCGAGACATGATGGCTTGGATGTTCAGAGCAGTGACAGTGACACAGACGAGTGTGTCATGTTGGATGCCCCAGCAAGTTCAACCTCCGAAAATGAAAACATCAATGGTAAAAGCAAAAAAATGATTAGTTAAATTTTCAACTAATTTTGAATTAATTTTTTAATAGAGATTCAATATATGAAGTCTCTGCCAAACAGCCCAGCTGATCAATTAGATAATGTTTCTGATTCCGAAGAAAGCGGAAATCAGTCGGACGAATCAGAATCTTTTGACACCTCTGAAAGTACGCAAGGTAATTAATAAAAAAAATATTGAAATTTCTATTTTTAATTACACAATCCTTAAAATAGGAGATTCGTCTGAAGATGAAACTTCGTCGGATGAAGAACTTGCAGGAGATTTTGCAAATTTGGAGCAGCTACTTTTCACAAACGAAACAAGCCAAGCCACATTAGGTATTGCTCTGCTCAAACTTTGTAAAATATACTCCAAGCACTTATGTTCCAAGGGTCTCTTGAGAGATGTGATTAGTTTAATCAATGAAATATTACCCAGAAATAGCAACTTTCCTAGTTCGTTGCACAAATTTTTGGAAATAGCTAGCTCGGTTGTCCCAAATTGCAATTATACTTCAAAATATTTCTGTGCCGATTGTCATAAAAGCTTCGGAGACACTGATAAGGACATTTGTGAGCGATGCTCGAGTAAAAGTTCGGCTGTTTATGTCAGCAATGATTTAAGTGCCCTCGTGAAGGTATTTTTCGAATCAAACGGATTAGCACAAACTATTGATGCATATAAAACTACCCAAATTGCTGATGAAAAAGTACGTGACATTGTTGATGGGCGGAGATTTCAGTCGTCAAATAAAAATCAGTATGATTTAGCTCTGATTCAAAACATCAAAAGTATTCCAGTTGCTAATGGTGCTGAAACTCAAATATGGCCAAATGCTTTGGCCATTTGTGATATTTCACCTGATTTACGTTCAAAAAGTGTCCTGTTAGAATCAATTTGGTATTCAAATTCCAAGCCTGATATGATACATTATCTGAGTGACTTTTTCGATTCTTTCGAGCTCCTCAGTATTGATGGTGTTGATTGGAAAAATCCCGTAACAAATAATATTGAAAACAGCAAATTATTTATGATTGCATCCACAGTTGATGACCAAACAAGATGCGAAATGCAATATATAAGTCAGTCTGATGGGAAATATGGGTGCAGTTTTTGTGAAATACCAACTAGTGAATGGAAACATAATATGAATTCAACAAAAATTTACCCATTCAAATTATCAGGCTTTCCTCTCCGCACCCAGGAAAATATGATTGAACAGGCAAACTACGCTTTACGCAATGATCCAGGGAGTGGTGATGAGAATGTTGTCCATGATTATGAATCCAACCACTTTTTTCAAACAAAAGGAGTAAAAGGCTATACTCCTTTGACCCTGTTTGATAATTTTGATATTGCAAAAGGATTTTCTCCCGATTATTTGCATAGCTGCCTGGTAGGTGTTGTACGCAGAAACATTTCTACAATTTTAGATGAAAGAAATTCAAAGAAAGAATTTCAGATTGTGAGATATTTGGGACTGATTAATATAAAACTGGATGAAATCACTCCGCCAAAATTCATGAAGCGTCCGCCTAGACCATTAAACAAGATAATGAAATGGGAGGGAAGTGAGATTAGGAATTGGCTCTTATATTATTCTCTTCCAATCATGAAAGAATTTTGGCCAAAGCAATATTTAGAGCACCATTTGCTTTTAGTTTTTGGAATCCATACTTTGTTGAAAGAGGAAGTGTCAAAAGAAGAAGTTGAAAGTGCCCGGAGAGCTTTAGAGGAATATTGCGGACTCTATCCCCTTCATTATGAAGCCGAAGATCAAACTTTTGATTTGCACATGCTTCTCCACCTGCCAGATTCTGTTTTGGAATTAGGTCCGTTGCAAATGCACAGCACTGATGCTTTTGGAAATGCAAAATTTAGACTGGGCCAAGATATTCATGGCTCTGGTGCACGCGTTGCAAAGAAACTTCAAAACACGATGCAAATTATAAATTTCCAAACTTGCCTACAGTTCAAGTACGAAAAGGATGAAGCTCAGAAAATTCAAGTTCTTGGAGGAAAAGTTCTTACTGAGAAAATCAGTCGTGAAGTAATTGATTTCCTTGAAAATAGAGTCATTGTATTGGAAGATGATTACACGATGGAATTTTACTTGCGTGCTAAAGTTAACTCGGTGACTTTCACATCTGAATTTTACACCAAGGAAAAAACCACAGATTCCTCCTTTGTAAAGTATAAGAAAAATGATTCCCAGGAAGAATTTGCAAGAGTAATGTATTTTGTAACTGTGAATACTGACAAGGTGTACTTCATTGGAAAGAAAATTGACTTAATGTCTCCTGTATTTGAAAATAACGAAATGGCTGTGTCGGTTGATCATATCAGACCTTACAGTGTGACAAATGAAATAGTCATGTGCAGTGCTTCCAAAATTGTGATGCCATTAATCAAGGTTGAAAGTTTCTTATGCATACCTCCGAACACTTTTGAAAGGAGTTTGTAAATGGTGATGAAATTATTAAATAGATTTAAGAGGATTGTGACTGAATAATTGTATTGTTAAAAGCATGTAAATAAATTATTACTTGATTGCAATTAACATGAAGTATAATTATTTTGATCCATTGGATAAATGTAATTTTTTAATCTATGTTGCATTCTATTAGCGCGCTTTGCGAGTGCTTACTTTTTTTAATGCATCGATTTTTCTTTATTTAATATCAAATAAAAAACAATTTAAATCAACAAAAAATATTATTTTAAACAAATTAGATAAAATATTTTAATTAAAAAAATTGACAATATAACAATAATATCAAAATCAATATGTCTCAAAATTATTTTACAAGTTTCCACACTACAGATGATAATGAACCCAGAGCAATATTTTACAAAGTTGAACGATTTAGCCCCACGCAGAGGCAATAAATTTATCATTTTTTTTTTTACAACAAAGAGATTCTCCGTAAGTCCCTCTATGCGCTGAGGAAATAATGCGTTACAGGGAAACAATTGCACCGCGGCCGACAGTAATTACGTTCAGAGAGAAAAATAAGACAAAGTTGAGACACGCCGAGCAGATGCCATTTGACATTAATTTTTCATCTTAAAAACAAAATCAACTCCCGTGACTCACACAAAAGCATTCACCGATATCAATTATATTCGCGCTGCAATTATTTATTTATTTTCTTAGACGGAAAGAATGAATGACACGTCGTGACTCATCACCTATATACTCTATATCAATATAAGACGAGTTGCAACACAGAAAGTCAATTACGAGAAAATGTTCGACGGAGCGGCAAAGTGCGTTTTTATTTCATCTGGAAATGCGAAAAACAAACCGCTAATTATTATTGATGCTCGGCGTAAATGAGTCAGTGAGTGAACGGAGAGTTTCGTTTCAATTTTCGTTCAGGCAGATTAGCGAATGACACGCTAGGACGAATTTGCACAAACGGCCGGCTTTGGCCTGACTTAAACGATCCGTGCAACACTTTATATGGAGTTGTAAACGTTTCGTGCGAAAATAGCCAATGTGTATAATAGTTACCGGGAAAATGCAAATAAATCAATGTAAAATAGAGACGCATATCTTCTCCGCCCAATTATTGCCGACGCCTCTCTTATTTGCGAGATCATTACCGGTAATCATAGCCTTATTCTAAGAAGGGGACATGTATACATTTTTCTTCAGGTCCAGCCCGTGAGAAACTTGACTTTTGCACTTTCGCAATGTCTAAATGTTTTATGGCTCTCAATCGGTCAAGATGCAATAAGGAAAAAATGAAAACGGTCACTTACGTCCAAGTCAATTTGTGTTGCTTCCAAGATGATCCCTGCTTGACGTACCGCTTGCTTCGGAAGCCGCGGTCCTCCTTGTCCGGAAGTCCGCACCTCGGAGTGTCCAAAAGTTTTACTGTGGCCTTGTCCATCTTTCCAGTGGCTGGAATTCCAGCAAATTTCTGCGGAATTTTTTTTTTTTAATTATTTAAAGAATTAATTTTAATGCAATCAAAAGGACATTTTTTTGATTGAGCTTTATTTCAAAATTTTAAAATAAAATAACGTTGACAATTTATAAATTAAAATTATAATAAGTATGTTATCAAAAATATTACATGACTGTATTACTTAAAAGAAGTCAAAATTATACCACAAAATAATAATACTTTAAATTTTAAAGAAAATTTAATCAATTATATTTTTTTATCAATAATAAATTTTTTTTACTATTTAACTTTATATATAATTTTTAAATATTTTAATTTTTATAAATTTAAACATAAATTTTTATTTATTATGTACACTTGATTGAAAATGTAACAAGCAAAGCAAAGACATTATCTGAAAATGATATTGCGCACCTCTTGTGAACAGTTTTGGTATTTTGATTTCATAATATAATTCAACATCAAGTTATTAGTCTAGGAATTTTAATTTTGTATGTTTTAATTTTTAATTTTTTTGTTAACATATCTAAAAATAAAATTCTTAACGTTTTTTTTTTAATAAATATTATATTGCAAAATTGTTTTATTTAATTTAATTCAATTTTTCTCTCCAAACAATTCAAAACATCATTGGCCAATAATGACAATAATATACAAATTTTTATAATTTAGATTGAAACTTACCTGCATCTCCATAAGTCCTTTTATCACATCATCTTCATGTCGCAGCTCTCCAGTCTCAAGGTTGGATTGTGGCAGATACCCGAACTGCATCAACTTTTTATGCTGGAACACAAATCCGAAATTACAATTACAAATGACCCCTCGTAAAAGTGGGAGTGGACATTTTATTAGGCTCTATTCAAAGTGGATCTCATGTATACATTTGTATGCAAATCAGCCGCGCATTAGCGAAAAATTAATCGCGATGAAAAAATAAATGCCCCTGAAAGGAAAAGGAGCCATTTGAAAAAATAAATTAAGATGAGAAGCAGCAGCGAACGAACGATTATTTTCACCCTATGATTAAGTCAATAATGGCGAGACGGGCGCGCTTCACCTCTCATCCGGTCACGTTTTAATTCCAAATGAATTTCCATACATTACAAAACAAGAGATCCATTGTTCTCTCTTTCTCGTGACAGCAGACGCGATTGAGATGTGAAACTTTTTATGCCCATACAAGGTTTATTTATATATTTTTGCATTTTCGCCATCATGAGACATTTTATGGTTGCGGAATTTGCAATTTTATTATTCCCGTAAATCGCTGTCTCGTGAATTTGCACAAATGATGCGCTGTCGTTTTAATGTAATCCATCATCCATCTCATCTGCATGCAAGGCCAAGGCGGCAATCAGACGAGTAAATCACGCACCCCTCTCTCGCGGTAATTTAACTTTATATACGTCTCGTCGTCGTTCTCATGAAAAATAAAACGCCTCCAGATAAACTCGTTATATTGCGATTTGAATCTGAATTAGCGTTGGTGGAAGAAAAATACACCATGTTAATTAAGAATCTATTTTGGTACGGAGAAAAGCCGGACAAACAGAAGCCATACTAATTTCGCAGGAGACACACGTGTGCAAAAAACTTGAGAAGATAAATAGTTTTATATGGTTTCAGTTGCAGAGACGAAACGATGATATCTGCAAATTTTCGCAGAGTATAAAATTTATGCAAAAAAAATTCAATTCAATTCAATTTCAGCTCTTTCGAGCTATTTACAATCAGCACGCAATTTTTATCATTGCGCAAATTTTATTATTAAACTTTTTCAGGGTCTCTGCGCTGATTGTAATAATATTTATTATTTAGATGCGAAAAGAGCTGGATAAGATTTCATCGAAATTTAAGTAAACCATTAAATAATTTTAATATTTATGACCATGGAATTGCCATACCCTGAGAGAAATTAATTCACATTGATTACTACACTGAGGTTCAGAATATTTCCACGTAATTATTTATTAATTATTGTATTGAAAATAAATAAAGTTGATTAATAAATAAAAGAATTAAAGATTAAATAATCTATAATTTTTTTTAACTGAAAATAACGTTATTCTTATATTAAAAAATAAATAAATTACATTTTAATTAACATATAACTAAAAACACTGCAAAAGAATTTAGCATGAAATTCTTAAATTATAATATTAAATTCCTTTTTAAACAAGTTTGGACCGGGGTCGTTCCTCTCGTTCGTTCCCATTCAATTTGCACCACGCAGCGATCGAGGTCAACCCTCTGGCAAATATTTACGCATTGCCGGCTATTTCTGCAATGCCACAGCGCAATAAAAAAAAACGTTTGTTCTCAAGTAGACTTGGTTCAAGAGCGAATATGTTTTCCGCAGCACTTGCGACACCGCCCGGTTGCATAGATCGCGTTAAAATTTGTCAACTCGATCTCCACAGCAACGACCGACGCACGCGATCAATTATATTCTCCAACGATAAAATACAAAACGGGGTGTCTAGAACAAATTTTGCAAAATTCGTGATTCATACACGCTGAACTAAACGGTGGGAAACTAAAACAATTGCACGCACGCGGCCGGGTTCTGCTGCTGCTTCTTGAATAATAAACAGGAATTTATTGTGCATGGCGCAAGCTGACCTCTTCATCCTTCTTTAGACCCGATTTGCAATGATTAATTTGAATTTAATGCAGCCACATTGCTCGCCTACGTATTTAACGTAAGTTTGAAGTGGCTTTTGATTTTCTTATTCATGACCGTTTGTCGCTCGTTACGAATTCGGTGACCCGAAATGGATTGAGTCATACGTTGGGGACTTTTAATTTTTCATTCAACAGGAAATCTCAGAATTTTGAGAAAAATTGTAAATATGATTAGTTAAAATTAAAACGGTGCGTGACAAATACCCAATCAAAACATAATAAAATACAAATTTAAAATTGACTTATCAAAAGGAATGAAAGGGAAATTGCCCAACTAAAAATTAAAAGTTGATTTACCAAGATTTATCTTATTGTGACCTTAAATTTAACAAAGGATATGGAGGAACTAGGAACTATAAAAAAACTAGTTTTGTTTTATAATTCGCTATAATTTTATTTAAAATTTAAAAAAAAGCAGTCAGCTGTCTCCAAGATTTTTAAGTATTTCGCGACTTTATAGTTTATTACTAAATAGTTCAGTACAAATAGTGTGCCAGAAATCAATATTGAATTGGCAAGAGTGTGTAGATGCTATCGATAAAAAATTATTCAGAGAAGAGCAAAATTAGCCAAAAATGATAAAAATTAACCTTTTTGAAATATTACCAAATGAAATTTTGTTTGAAAAGTTTTTAAAATTTAATACAACACGTTATTATTTAAATTTAATTTAGATAATTATGTTTCCCGCAGTGAAATCCAAAGAATTTTTGAAGGGTTTTAGCGCAGTTTAATCTACAAGCTTATCTTCACTTAGTTTTCCAACTTTTTTTGTGGCATACAGTGGCATATATGTTTGTTACTTTAAGATTTCAGTCCTGCTGGTTATTTCCTGCCCCACGTTCAGATAGTCGTACAAAAATTATTTCGAAAGTAACCACACTTCCCGTAGCACGAAATAAATTAGTATTCACCCTTCCAGCACGAGAACAATACCCACTAATAGGAAATTAACTTTTATCTCTCCTCTGAACCGTTAGCTGAAAATTTAGATGGTCAATTATCGACTCATTACGATGCTCGCAACGTCTGCTCGATTGAATGGAAGGTGACGTAACAGTCCCAGCATGCATTTCGGAAGTGAGGTCATTATCAGTGAGGAGCACTAAACCCCACAAGCAGCTTTTTCAATGCCGCAGAGTAAAAAAAAATTAGTGTATATTTCTAAACTCGCCGGCTGCGAAAGCCACCCCAGAAGGGCTTACTTTCATCTGGCTCAAATGACAGACGGCGGTCGTAAATTCAGACACAGAGGCTGCCCAGACGGACGCTAATAACAAAACGCACTCACAGAACAAAAATAAGTACTAGACACACTAGACACAATGCACCAATCGTTTGGGGACTGCAACTTTATTTATATTATTGAATAATTTGTGATGAAATAAACAATTATTACCAAAATTTACATTTAATTGGTTTAATTTTCATGGCGCAGTCTAAAAATATACTGTAAAATTGATAAATAAAAAGTAAAAATAAATTTTTTATAGCATTATTTTATTTTGCATTTTTTAAATTGCACTCCTCATGGTAATTTTCCAAATTTGAGAAAGCGTGTACTATGTAATTTATAATTATCAGCATTTTTTTTTTAATTATTTCATAGTTTTCATTTTGCTAAGCCAGTCGATTACTAACTGTTGTTTATCTGTCCAAATAATTCAATTAGATTGATCACTTTTGGTAAATTTTTGTAAAAATTTAAATTAAAAATATTATTTGCCAATTGTTGTTCAAACTTTGAGAGAAGCAGAATAAAAATTAATTTTTTTCTATGCATATAAGAGAATTTATTTCTACACATCGGAAATGAAGAAGGAAGTAAATTTTTATCAACATAATATTGTTCAATTTATATCAGGTGATTACAATATTGTAATATTTGCATGTCAAAAATTGCTATTAAATTTTTATGGAAGTTTTGAGATTTTAAGAACAATTTCAATAGGTATATTTACAGTATTACAAAGGCAGCTAGCAGAAGAGTAATATAAAACCGAGCAATAAAAAAATTCCAGATAAAAAGTAATAAATTACAAGCCGCCTTAATTTAATTTCGCCCTCGCCCCCCGAAACGTTTAGCGACAGCGTGAAAAAAAATTCAACCGCTGCATTTTGAGGGGATAATAAATAAAAAAGCATATCAGAAAACGGTCGGTCTCTCCACGCCAGATGCCCTCTCTCATAATTACCATACTAACACGCACACATGATGATTTCATGCGCATAGAGTGGTGCAGTGCTGGGTACACCGCGGCACGCATTAGACCTATAATATTTTCGATGTGTTTTATTCCCAACTAATTCGAGTGCTGCGGTTCCACATGGACAACCAAGGCCGTGTCTATTCACAAAAGCGGCAAAATAATGCATAAATAATTGGCGCAGCTCGAACAGCAGAAATTGAAAATAAACAGAAACCACTTCTCCGCCGTGTCATTAATCAATGTTGCGGCCAAAGATCTCTTCGAGAGATTTCAAAATAAATCGACCATCCTATATCAATATTGATTGATTCGTTCAAGCATCTTTTTTCTAATAGAGAGAAAAACATTTGCTCTCGGATAGAGACTCTTCTGATGGCCTTGCGTGTTTTCTTTTTTCACAAGTCCATCTATATTATTTTTCTTTTGTTGGGGGCGACGCACAGATTTTGTACATTTCCATACAATGCGGCTAAATATGTGAAAAGCTGCGGTGGAAATAATTGATTTGATGCGGGTGTGTGTTTTTTACAAAGCCGTCAATATGGGCACGATCGATGTGTGCCGAAATAAAAATTCTCCACGCATCTGCGGAAAGTGCGAAAGTGTGAAATTCACGCGGCGACCGATTTTTAAGTGTGGGTGAAGCGACACGGATTTAGAATTTGCGACGGCATGGTAAGGTGTCCATTACTTGAAATATGGAATCTAAATTGGATTGTTATGTTTCAATTTATATCAAGTTCTAAAATACGTTTTGTATCTTTATCTACCTCGTTTCTAGTGCACTGCTCCAAGTATGAATAAGACTAAACGTGAAACTTTTTAATTTAAGGTGAAACGTTTTAAGGTCTATTTTATGTTATTTCAAACAGGGAAAATTTGAAGAAA